TAGAAATCTGCACATTCAGATATAAATTCGAAAGTCACTCTGGCCCACCACAGGACACAACAAAAGGCAGACATCCAACATGGCAGAGTCAACGCGATTCGTGAGAATTTTCCTAAGTACTAAGCTTAATAAATGTTAATATTCAATGAAAAGATGGTTTAGGTGACCGTTTATTCATTCGGGTAGCGGAGGCAGACGCGTTACACAGTCCTTCGACGCTGTGCCTGCGTTTGAGCTTCGGCAGAAGATAACTCGAGTCTGGAGCGGAGTCCTTCCATACATTTATCCCAGGTTATTCCTGGGTCTTCGGCCAGTCAGTTGGACAAGTAGTAATTGTTTCGCCTTCCTTTCTGAAAGCATTCGCAAGACAGGCCAAAACCATCACATTGTGACTTTTCAGTCAGGAAAATGCAATGGTTGCGGACACAAAAAACAAACTGATGTTAAGTCTTTATTTGAACTGCCGACGTTTCAGTCAATTCATATTGGACATCTTCAAGTCAAACAATGCTTAAGGAAGGCACAGAATCGAATGTTTTCGAAATCAAATTTTATTAAATCAAATGAACATTTTTGGATTCCCAAACGTAAAACAACCGCCATGAGTTTCAAGCCATTTCAACGCTGATAATAGTATCGTTATACGCAACAAAACGTTTTGAGTGTCCAAAAGAAAACCTCACCATCGTTGTTTTAATTTCGGCTATCCTAATCCCACATGAAGAAAGTGTTTAACCGATCAAACATGGACCTAGAATCGAAATGACTAAAATGTATTAAGTAAAGTTATTTTTTCTACTCATTTCTTTGGTTTTATACTGCGTACGTGGTCATACTGTTCCCGTGCTTTCAGCTATGTAGATAACCATATAAGCAGTCTTATGTGCTAAACCACTAAAAACAAAGGAGCGATTCGTCTAAGTCGAGTAAATCGGAAGATCGCTAATCTCACCGATGGCATCGAGAAATAGCAATCTCTCAATAAACCCAGAATACCGGGGAAATTTTCTGTATACAAGGAGATTTTGCACTGAAATGGTTAATCCGTAAAACGGAGAGGATAATACAGAAAACTGCAATATTCGTCTACAGAATCGTACTTAAATCTTATGTTACTACCAGAGGGACACATTTCGAAATACCTTGAGGTAAAGCGACCATGACGTCTTTCCAAAACTGCAACCTCATCAACGCGGTGGTGCTGTTGGACGAGAGCTGAAACACCTGAGAGAGCTCGACGTTGAAAGCGGCGACGGATAACGTGTGACGGCGGTACCTGTTCGGCAGAAACAGGTGGAAGAGGAAAGTTTCACGGTCTCGACGACGCACCAGGTCGACGCAGTACTCGTAGGCACTGGCAAGCGAGTGTGGAGAACGAGATTCCGCAAAACGACGGTTTGGCTGCCAACGAAGGTGAAGGCCTGACAAGCAACGGGGGGACGATGGAAGGCCCAAAACAACAACGATCTTCATGGCGCCGCGGGACACTGGCCGCTGAACTGCGGAAGGGCGAAATACGGCGAGACGCAATTTGCGCGATGGTCGAAGGTGTAGAACGAGGGGCAGTTGAAGACCGTCTCGAAAGTCTTCGAGTTCATCTACAAACAACAAATGACAACGACATGAGAACAATGCGAAAAAAACAGCGAAACAAATGTCCAACCTGTATATCAGCGCGGATAAGCGAAAATTCACCGGCTACCATCGCCCCGCTGTAGCAGATAGCCAGCAAACTGAGGAAGCACTGGATGACGATATCCAGCGGCAGTCGAAATGACTCCTCGTCCGTCAGGTGGAGGTAGGCACGATGTTGGGCCGCTGAA